TTATAATATATTTATTATAAGTAATATATTTATTTAATTGAATTATTCAACTCCACTTATTTTAGTTAAATTAATGACATATTGAATAGCAACAATGGCGATTTAGAGGAATGATTAAAAATAAATATTCAAATTAACTAATTCATATTAGATATAATTTGATATTATAAATTTAGCAGTGCCGTTCTGCATTTTATTGTATATATAGTAAACATAATTTTAAAAACTTGTTAAATTTTGTTAAAACTTACAAATGCGTTAATTGCAAATTGACACGAATTGTTATCGATTATCACTGGCACAAGAAATTATGCTATAGGTCAATGTCGGCGAATGTCTTGAATTTCATGATTTTAGTCCCACATGGGTACCTTTAAGTTAAACAAGTCAAAGGCTCAGCTTTCAATGGAAATTTCCTTGTTGCAACGTACCGCTTCCACGTCCGCGTTGCTGAACGCCCATCGATCGATCCATACCACTGTGTAACAGAAAGCACGCGACGACCTAACATCTGCCGTTGTGTGGTTCGCAGTTCTAACGTAATAACGACTTTAAACACAGAGAGCTTGGGTTACGAGCTATTTAGGTGTTAAACGACACATCAATTATCGCACAGCATCGTATTATTAGAACTCGTGGTCCTGTGAGAATTACGATCGAGATCGATGCATCCATTTCTTTGCACGGTCCAATTTGTTCGGCTACTTATCAAAATTTTAATCTTTATTTCTATTAATCCTTCGCCGGCAATGTTGAACTTTAAAAGCACCGTCAATTTATTGATTGAGAATTTCTGGTGGATAAATTTAAATCTGTAAAAAGTAAGTAAAATACAAAATTTCTATGATAGTAAAAACTCGTTAAAGGAGTTAAGTTTAAAAAAAAAAAAAATATTTTCAGATTTTGGTATAGTCTGAAACAGTAAACGAAAAGAATGATTTTGAAAATAAAATATTTACAAATTTAGATAGATATAGATATGAAAGGAATTTTGTTGAACCATTAAAATAATTATGTAAAAAACTTAAGCATAATGAATTATGCTACAAAAAGTTTTAACATTCTAGCAACTAATTTAAACGTTTTACGTAACTATTTTGGTAGTCCAACAAAATTTATTTCCAGATCTGTATCTAGTTAAATTTTTATATACTTTAGCAAAAAACTTTTTTCCGTCTATATATAAAAATCTATATTAAAATTCGAAGAATTAAGCAGATTGAAGGGTGAAAAGTTCATACTGCTAATGGACGATTAATAATAAATCAAATATCAGCGTGTTTAAAAACGCTATAATCAGAATATAATTAATCACTAGACTAAAAAGCGTCATTGTCACTTTCTACTATTACGTACATATCAACACTTTTGCATCTAACGTCTTCCAATCTGAATGATTTTCCCCTTATAGTCTAGTTTGTGTATGAATACCAAAAAAATCGTTGAAGTAGTAGAATGGCTGAATGGGTTAGGACTTAGGTTACTCGATCAATACAAGACGTTCCAGTTCTCTCTACGACTGCGAAATTAGACGTCCAAAGGTAAAGAGGAAAGTTAAAGACTGGGGATGCAAAAAAGCAGATGAGATGATATTGTAAAGTAAAAAAAAAAATGAAATATCTACTTAATTTTATTAATAAACCTAAGAGACATGAGAATACGATTCGATAAAAAAATTATAAGGTATACTTATATACAATTACATTAGATTTTCCGGTGAAATTTTAATATACCGGGCATCTATAATGCTAAAATTAAAAATTAATTAAAGCAATATTTGTACATGTTTCAGGTGCCTTCCTCATTCCCTTTTTCGTGATGCTTATCCTGGAGGGTGTACCCCTCTTCCTGATCGAGTTGGGTCTCGGACAACGTATGCGGCAAGGTGCTCTGGGTGTATGGAACACAATACACCCTTGGCTAGGCGGTATAGGGATCGCATCGTGTATAGTGACGTTTTTCGTTACGCTTTACTACAACGTAATTATTACCTGGTGCGTCTACTACCTCTTCAACTCGGTCGAGGTAAGTAGATCGATAAGGTTCGTAACACCGATTGACGCCATGGTAATCTGCGTCGAGACATCTTAAGTGACTCTTTCCCTCTCCACTACTTTATAGTTTAGATTTTAGACTTAAATAGGTAATAAAAGAACGTCGCTCATGATAACACTAAATGTTTAAAATCTACCAGTCTTTCAATAAAAATTATATTTCTATTAAAATACTATAGAGATTCGAGAAAAATGAAAAGAAAATTAAGAAATTTGTCAATTGCAATCAAAAATTAAAAACATTTAGTATTTAATATTTATTAATTAAAATTTTTAAATTTATTTTTGATAACATTACCTTAATTCAAATGTTATAGAATGTTACATTTAAATATAATTATTAATGGTGTTTTTGTAAATATACAGGATGTCTGATAATTGTTCTGACAGAGTTCGTGGACATATAGGACTAAACTGAGACGGAAAGTCCTCTATCATTTTGCAATTTTTGCAATAGTTAACGAGATATTAATTGCTAAAAATTGGTCTTCAATAAGTTTTTACTTAAATACTATCAACTTTATAAAAAAAATGCAAGAAACGAAAATTGTTTATTTTCTTCTTATAGAGCTCTAAGAATTTGTTTAGAATTTTTTCAGAATTTTTTAATACCATATTTTCTCATGTTAAAAATGTGAAAATGCAGTATTAAAAAGTCGATAAAAAAATTCTAAAAAAATTCGTAGATTTCTATGAGAAGAAAATAAACAATTTTCGCCTTGCAGTTTTTTTGTAAAGTTGATAGTATTTGAGTAAAAGTTATTGAAGACTAATTTTCGGTAATTTTTAGCAATTAATATCTTGTTAATTATTGTAAAAATTGCAAAATGGACTTTCCATTTCAGTTTAGGCCGCTCTACATGTTCACGAACTCTGTCAGAACAATTATCAGACACTTTGTATATGTATATTATTAACTCTAATTGATATTCATTTTGAAAGTTTTTAAACTGGTATTTACGAATCTAGAGTTATTAATTTAAAGTTATTAATTTAAAGTTTAATACTTTAAATTAATAACTTTGCTTAAAGTTATTACAATTAAACAATTTTTTGTCATTGTAAAGGTGAAAATTCGGAGGAATAAGATTGTGTTAATTCTTAAAATATTGTAAGATATTGTGAAAAATTTTTTAACAAAAATTTTTCACAACGTTTTGCGCGTAATTATCTAAATCCACGAATTTATTAAATCCACGAATACAAATTAGAGTTAATATTTTTCCTAAATTTACAAACTATTAATGATATTTATTTTCTTTTTCATGTTCCAATTAGGCTATCACGATCAAATTTGGCGTAAGTACCAATTTTTTGTTTTTTTAAGTAATGAGCAATATTGCATTATGTTGCTATAATTAGAGAGATTATTGTACATAAATTGCATAACGGAGCTATAATATGTAAATTTTGTCATAATATCGGTCTCTCAATTCAGCGCTCAAAGTACCGCTTCAGCTTTTACAACGCAATAACAGCATACATGTTCGTTAAAGCGTATATTGATGATCTATTTGCATATTCTGGCGCAATTTAGGAATCACTGCCGTGGGCAAAATGCCCGGTATTAGACGGGAAACCAGTCGAGGAATGTGTCAAGAGTTCGGAGACAGCGTACTTTTGGTATAGGACTACTTTGGATGCGGCACCATCCATTGAGGATGGCCAAGGTCTCAAATGGTGGATCGTACTTTGTCTTTTGCTCAGCTGGATTGTCGTGTTTTTCATCGTCATGAAAGGAATACAGTCGTCCGGCAAAGTAAGTTGAGATAGATAAGGACACGTATTATCGAACTAATCTAAATGGATTCCGATCGAAATTGTTCAATTATTCCCTAGATTTCTATTGTGCTGTCTGAATTTCTATTGTATTATTTAAGAAAAATGAAATAATTTTCATCGGAATCCATTCCGAAGAGTTCCATAATATATGCCTAGAACCGATTCCCTCGATGTCAATTAATATTAGAAATAACAATCGAAATATTAAATAATGGTTGTATATTCATTTAAAGAATCAAGAGAAAAAATTACCATAAAAATAAAGGAAATAATGAAAAATCAAATGTTTTATTAATATATAAAGAATATAATTATTGAAAATTCAAAAAATTTCAGAATCCTATCTTTTACACGAGAAATATAATATTAATCTAATAAATAAAAACGGTCACAATAATGATTGCTCAATACTTTTAATATTGTCCGTTTCTACCAATGTAGATTAACTTTAATTTCGATTTGATTTATTCTTTTTCTAAATATTAGCATTAGAAAAAATAAGTTGCATTAAGTTAATCGATATTAGTAGAAATGAATTAACTGTGCTAAAGAGATTGATTTCGCACTTTTTTTTTTATCATCGCAACAAACAAATTATCCTTTCTTCCAGGTAGTATACTTTACGTCGATGTTTCCGTATCTCGTACTAACCATCTTCTTCGTCCGCGGGATAACGTTGGAAGGAGCAAGCGCCGGACTGGCGCACATGTATACGCCAAAGGTGACGATCGATTTCAGTCAGAGTCGACTTTATCGAAGAAAGTAAAATGCCGGGTATTATATATTTACTTTATTTCTTTCATTGAAGGTCGAGAAATTGTTGGAGCCCACGGTCTGGCTTGACGCGGCGACCCAGGTCTTCTATAGTTTCGGGCTGGCGTTCGGCTCCCTGATAGCATTTGGCAGCTACAATACTCCTGACAACCACTGCGTGAGGGACGTGATCCTGGTGAGCGTGTGCAACGCGTTTACTGCCATTTACGCGAGCGTTGTCATTTTCGCCATTTTGGGGTTCAAGGCAATGTCAAACGTGGAGAAGTGCGTCGTCAGGTAATGCGACCGCAAGCGCGGCCATCGTTTCTAAATTCGCCATCGCGAAGAGGGTAGTGAGAAAAAACGTCCACGGCTGCGGAGATGTGTCTTTAAACGACCATGATAGCTGTTGCCGCTTGTTCGAGAGATAGAAGATATGCGTGTCGACGTTTTTACTAGTTGCACTATTAATGTATAATAACGCATGTTAGCAGAAGTCATAATTAAATTAAATTGTGAAAAAAAGCTATATGAGTAATATATAACAATTTATGTTGATAATATTTTGAAATTAAACTGTAAAAATCAGTCACTTAATGTATACTTGAAAGTACATTACAATTTAATTTAATTACATCGCAAGTGTCAGACATGTCGATGGTTGAGCGTTTAGAAAAGGGAGGGATCGAGTCATAATGGGATGGGACGGGATATATCGTTAACGAAGAAGAACAGAGGGACACAGAAGATATGTTAAATCGCTTTTATTTTAGTGCGAAGGATATCCTGATACAAAATGGGTATTTGGCTAATTCGACCTCATTCAGACTCAAGGACTACGAACTCTTTATGAGCAACTCCTACAACTCTTCAATGAATCTTACAATGAAATCATGCAGTCTCAGCAAGGAATTGGACAACGTGAGTAATGATAGTCCACAAATTCATTCGGTGCATGATTATAAAATAATTAAGTGATAATCCTTTCGTATAGGCTGCCGAGGGCACCGGACTGGCTTTCATCATCTTTACACAGGCAATCGTGGAATTGCCGGGTGCTCCGTTTTGGTCTTGCATTTTCTTCATGATGCTTCTTGCCCTCGGCTTAGGTTCGCAAATTGGATTACTCGAGGGTATGCTCTGCGTAATTTTCGAAATAGATCTCTTCAAAAGAATAAAGAAGCAATATATGACAGGTGAGCGCGATCTATTGACACCGATAAAAACCACTGCATTGGTAAAATTATATTCGTTTTAACTCGAAAATAATTTTAACCTGAAATGTTTTTATATCTCAACGAGAAAATATAAATTGTTATAAAATATTGCGTTTGTATGGATATTGCTTAACATATTTTCTTTCTATTTTAACTATTGTTCATGAATCTTTCTCAATAACTATCCGATTAATAAATCGGATAGTAATTAATAATGTATAATATATTGTTAATAATAATGATTTTAATTGAGAGATTAAACAATATCCAAGATAATCATTTGCGTAAAAAAGGTAAAGAAGGTGACTATTTCCAAGTTAATCGAGTTATTTATGATTTTTTAAAAAATTTATTGACTATTAATTTATTGATTATTAATTTATTGACTATTAATTTTTAATTAAATAATGTCGGTAAAAGTAATATATTTTTATCATAATCAAATGTCATTTTTATTTTCATAATTTATTATCATAATGCAAAGAATCATTTTTTTAGTTGTGACAATTTTTACTTACAATTGCAGGAGTTGTTTGTGTTGTATGCTTCTTCGTTGGACTCATCTTCTGTACTGGCGCCGGTGAATATTGGTTGAAGATGTTTGATAGTTTCGCCGGTACCATTGGTCTCGTTATAGTCGCCCTGATGGAAATGATCTCTGTGATTTTCGTGTACGGTCACGAAAAGTAAGTTGAGCGTTCCACGACCAAGATTCTCTTCTCCAAATGAGATATATAGATTAATGGATTAATCGCGCGAATGCTATGCAGATTTACGAAGGACATCGAAGAGATGACCGGATATAAACCTGGGGCTTATTGGCAAATCACGTGGCGATTTCTCGCTCCCATAATAATGCTTTGCATCCTTGTGTTTAGCGTCATTTCCATGTTTATCAAGAAACCACAATATTCGGCATGGAATGCGGCAACGGTAAGATTATACAGTTTGGGATACATAAAATGTGTTAATTCAGCACAAATTTTCCAATCTGTATAAATATATAATTAAAATATATAATCTTTCATATGTAATCGTATCATTGTAATAATATTTCGGCTTTGTTCTTAGGGTGAAGCAGTGCCCACGAGTTATCCTGGCTGGGTGCTGGGTATCGCCGTCATTATCATTTTGGCAGGAATCGCTCCGATTCCAATCGTTTTCCTTTTACGACGATTCCAATTGGTGAAACTCGATGTGGATATACATCAAGGCAGTATTCGACGTATCGATACTACTGTTTCTACCAAGGAGATGATGGGCGACGTTGACGTGAGTATAATAGCTTGCCATTGCAATCGTAGCCATATATATTTATACGTAGAAACCCCAAAATGAATTACTTTGAAAGATGTGTATTAAAAAAAAGTTTTGCGCAAAAAAATATTTTCCGCGAAAATAGCATTTGTGGCTTGTGATCGTTCGTGATGGAATGTGTGTAAAGTTCGCGAAAGCAGTCCATTGGATGACTCGAAATGAACGAGCGCACGTTGCCTTTTCCCATTTGACCTAATTGTTTTGGTCGAAAGTAGTATTGTTCCTTTCCTTAAAATAAACCCTTATGGATATAAATAGTGCAGCGAAAACTCTGTAACCATCAAAACAATTTCATAAAAAATGTCGAAATACATTTACATTACAATCTTTTAAAATTTTTTGATTTGCCTTCTAAAATCACATTGAGTTTAATCTTTGATTCTTTTCAACAGATTTGACTTATATTTTACTTCAATGCATTATTAAGGATTAGATAACAAGGGAACAATGATTTCTTAAGTTAAATAATATTTTATTATTTTTAATTTCTATGTATGTCAAAATTGATCTATTTCTATGGAAATTGCTGTGGAGGTTTGCTAAGCTGCACTACTTAATAATTATTTTGAATAAGTAGTGTTGTACCCCTCCAAGATAGCCTGTTCAAACGGAATAGCTTAATTAGCGCACCACGGGCTAACGGATGTCATGCCATTTGATCAGCAGTGTGGCCTTGTGCGATTAAAACAGACTCGTAAATTATGATGTTGCTTATGTCGGATTCCTCCGAGTTGTTGCGCAAGTTGTTCCTCATGGTGAGCCAATTAAGCGCGTATACGTGACTCGCTTTAGGTAAATCACAATTGAACGTATGATCTGCAGTTGTAGGTAAGCATCCATTCTGTCTGTGGTAACGTCGATTACTCGATATCCCCGTAGCTACGTTACACGTGAGTTCGCAGTATCAACTTTTGAGAATGCATCCTCTGAATGTTACTTTTAGTGCATTCATTGTCACATGTACACGATGTCAGCCTCTATCGTAAATATCGTGACTCTAGTTTCTCCTGACTTTCTGTCTCTCTTTTGTACCATGTATTGTATTCATTCAGTTTAAAATCGCGATTAATTAACTGCACGATTTAATAAAATGAAAGGATACTACGCCGATACCTTTAAACGACTACGTTCTTTATGATAAAATATATCATCATTATCATCATCGATAGAATGCATGATTAGATTTTTCAAATCTCTATAAAGTAAGATGAACGAACATTTAATTAAAGAATAAGAGAGACATAATATTAAAAATTTTTCTCGAAATTATTTTCTATAATATACAATATTTTAAATTAAAAAATACTGTCTATTTCTGAATTTACATTCTCTGTCATAAAATATTGCACTTTGTAAGAAAAATGACACAAGTCAAAATTTTTCGAATTTGTTATTTTTTAATTTATGTGTGAATTGAGAAAAACATATTTTATCAAGCATTTGCAACAAATGTCCTTAGCAAAAATGCGAAATTTAATGCAAAATTCTGTTAATTAAATCAATATTTGTAAAATGGCAACAAAAACGTAACAAAACTTACGCTTATAAAATAAGTGCAAATCATAAAATGAGAACAAATCTTATGACAGAAACCGAATAAATAACATTTTTCAGCAGTAAACAGATGGCGAAAATTGAACGAGAATATATATATGATACAGTACATTTGCAAATTAATAGCAATCATAATTGCTTGCATATCAAGCAAAACTTATTAATAGCGCGATAATCTGACATTTTTAATATCTTTTTAATTGCCTTTAAATATCTTTTTAAATGCCTTTAAATATCTTTAAACATCTTTACATATTTTTAAATGAAACTTTTATGAATTCTGATATACAATTAATTTTAAAAATGTCCATTACACTTTATATAAGTTGTAAAAACCATTTTAAAGAAAATATTATACTAACATTGCTATTACTTTACTTAGGAGAATAACTTCATGTTATATTCTCAATTCAATATGATCTGATTAGTGCAGATTAGAAAATTAATTTTGACAATAGTGAAATAATGGTAATATTTTTGTTAATTATTGCCATGAAAAATTATAAAATATGAACTTCATTAATGCAATAAATCAGCATGTTTGCTTTTGGTAAGTATGGGTTCTATCCTGAAGTTTGATCCACTTAGCATGTCAAATATGATGAATCATCATAATCACAATTCTCATCAGGATTCATGTTATGCTTCACCAGGAATGAAATTTCATCAGAAACGCTCATGTATATATAGGTTGAATCATAATGAATGTCTCAACGTTTTACCATAGGAGATGAATTACCGATTGTAATACATAAGAGACAGTGAAATCCACATATACGAAAGAATGAAATATTCACCTCCTATGGTAAAATATTGAAATATTCATTAAATTCACTCTGTATATAGGACAGTATTAATTAATGGGTTGAGAATTAGAAGTGATCTGCCAACACTAATTGTGTATTCACGTAGAGTAGATCGTTCTAGATCCTTGTTCAATTAACCTTTTCATCATGTAGAAGTAAGAAAGCAAACAGTTTAGAAGTAGAAGCTATTTATGAATCCTGGATTGCGTTCTAAAAGTTTATAAGTTTATTTGGGAATCGAAAGTTTACAAATAATTTCTGTTTAGAAACTATTTGTAAACTTTCGATTCCCGCAAATTATAGAAATTATAGAAATGCTATTTGTTTCTTCGATTTTTATACACTGACGAATGGAACTTGAACAAAATCAATGGAAACAATGGAATTTATGCAAAATCTAGATCACTTATGATACTGAACCTTTCGATTTTTGGTGAGGCTTATGCAACTTTAACGGTTGGAATTGAAACTCCTCTTTTTACATGTGGTTTTCAAAATTAAAAAGACAATTCTTACTACAGCGAATCTACAAACTGCGATTAAAAAGAGTAATTCTTATCAATGTTGTATTTTTACTGCAAAAGTCAAGATTGTAGCCTATAATTCTCTTAGCTGATTTATTATATCACACTTTAATAAATATTTAAAATTTTATTTTTTGTTTATTTTTAGCTTGACGAGTATCACGATCGACTCGAGGACTTCCCGGAAGAAGATGAAGACATTAATAGCGATGATGATACGAATACTGCACCGACTATGAATAAAATAGCTAACAAAGCAATGAAGGGCAGAGCCTTCAAAATGGAAGTGATGAACTTTTAAAAACGCATAATCGGCGAGACTTCTTCCATTTGTCTGTGAACTGTATAGATATCAGATATATAAAGACACAATTAGTTTAATTATGATCAGAATTTTAATGTAAATTTATTCTTCATATTATTATATAAAAAAGTATATACACAAACAAAGTTCTTATTTTATCTTATAGTCATTAATTAACAGAAATATAATTCTAGACAAGAATTAAATTTTCGTCGTTTAAATCTTTAACATTGATTTAAAGATTTACATAATTTAGTCTTTATATATTTATAATTGATATCTCAGGGCGCTGTGCGTCTTTAAAATTGAATATATTGAGGAAAAATGAACAACAAATGAGCAACAAACATATGAAATTATTTGAAACTCTTTCTAATGTATCCTGATGACAAGCGAGTCACCTCGAACGTAAACCGAACACGAAGAATGTATTTGCGCTCGATACGATTTATAAATTTTTCAAAATTCATCAAAAGAAAATCCGCGTTCGTTTATTGTTCATTTTCTTGAAAGAGGTAGGGTGCGTCGATCATTCTTCTCGAATATATACGTAAAATAACTCTTCGCATTAAATGGATATAGGATAAACCATGAATTCGTCGTAAATTGAGCTCAATTTGTCGGATTGCGACGCCACTAAAAGCAATATGTATAATTCGGAATACATTTTAGAGGTGTAGCGCAAAAGAACGACCAATTGCGTTGCGACGGTTCAGTGTTTAAACTTTACCGTCGTGTATCACACTTCCAGGTAAAATCGCGAATCACCAGGTGAATTACGATAGATATATATCGGACAAAAAAATAGCGAAGAGAATAGAATGTTCTGGCTTTTTAGTATCGCGCGATATGGAGATCGGACATGGGATCTTTGATTTCGTCCGTGTCAATTCAATTTTAATTAAGTGCGATTTCTTTTATAGATCATTAGTTTAATCTACGAAGAATGGGAAACGGAGAGACTAGACAATAAAATTCGACGTAGTGGAATTGTTAGATCAACATAGCCGATTTATTTACTGCTTTCTGTATGATGTAATGTGTACTTTCGATTCCTCCGAGGTTCTACCTTATGCATGTCATGGCAGTCCAGAATTAATTGATCTTGTTTCCAAAAATTTAAAGAATAGATACTAAACAAGTTAATTTTTTCATTAATCTTTTTCAATTTCCTACGTTTACAAGATAAAAAGGAATGTTAATCTATATATACAATATTATATTACAAGTATATTTATGAGTGTATATATTACTAAGCTTGGAAAAGATAAATTTTTTATACATATGTATAATGTATTATAGTATATTATTTATTAATA